AAATTCTCATGGTCTTGTTCAGAGGAACAAAGTAACATTTTTTTTCTCTAAGCCTGACTGAATAATCAATATTTGCAGTGTACACATTATGAAGTAAATAGAACCCATGAATTTAGTCACATTAATCAAAGCAGATAATGTAATGCGTAGTGTAATTCCAAAGCTCATCCCGGCACCTTGACCCTTCTGCATGAATGTGCCCTGTCTCCATGGTGACGTACACGACAGAGTTATTTATCACTGCCACACACACTGCTGCTTTGTTAACCGTGATTGTCATCTAATTAAAAGGGCTGGTCAGGGAGATCTCTTAATGACGAGATAAGCGCCCAGGCCACTGATGTGCGCTCTCCCACGATCGATGGAGACGTTCCACTCGGTGGCGTCCACTGTCCGGGGGCCCATGGGTCACATTCATTATCCACCAGAATATCCTCAGACACTTACTAAATAGACCAGGTTCTGCCTGCAATGCACAACACTGCGTTTATCACTGTGAATGTATGATGTTTTACTGTATTATCTGTGACACATGTAGAGATCAACGTCACTGTCTGTTAAATGTATACATCACATTTATTCAAAAAACAGTCTTAGGCAATTTGTAGCCCCTGGGTCACCTACAACCCAACTTTCCCTGCAGGCTGCAGGAAAAACATCCACCTATGTCTTCCCTATTATATCAATACGCACTGAAGGCTGGCAACTTAATAAAGGTGTACTTTATTAGGACAACCGGAGCTGGAGGAGTTTACCTAGTGTGCATGTTTTTAGCAGCTCGAGTCCTGACTAGAACCAGGAAGTACGACCACATTAGTCCAGTCCTCAGGTCCCTGCACTGGCTTCCTGTGGCTCAGAGAATAGACTTTAAAACAGCTCTGCTTGTGTACAAGTCTCTCCATGGCCTCGCACCAAAATATATTAGTGACATGTTAGTCCCATATGAACCAGCCCGGACTCTGAGGCGCACAGGGACTGGACTCCTGTTAGTGCCCAGAGTCAGAACTAAACATGGGGAGGCTGCTTTTCAGATTCATGCTGCTAAAATCTGGAACAATCTTCCTGAAGATGTGAGACAGGCCTCCTCTCTGACAATGTTTAAAACCAGGTTAAAAACGGTGCTGTTTAGCTGTGCATACAACCGAGGGATTTTATATTTTTATCTTTCGTTTTAATGTTCTGTAATTATTTATGATTTTAATGCATCTTGTTCAGCACTTTGAGTTGCCTTGTGTATGAATTGTGCTATACAAATAAACTTGCCTTGCCTTGCCTTAGCGGTAGGGGAAACCGGAGCACCCGGGGGAAACCTAAGCAGGCACGGAGAGAACATGCAAACTCCACTCAGAAAGGCCCTGCTCCGAGCAGGATTCGCACCCAGGACCTTCTTGCTGAGAAGTAAGTAAGTAAGTAATGTTTATTTAGAAGCAGGAGTGCTACCCACTCAGCCAACGTGCCTCCCTTAATATGTGCTACCATGGCATGTTATACCTTATTTTTAATAAAATATCAACAACCACATTCTTGATCTTGCTCTAAAGAATAAAAGAAGAACATAAGAAGTAGTCTATAGTTTTGATGTGCTATTTGTTTTCCAGATTTTTTTGCCAAATTAAATTAAACAAGTGAAGGGTGGAGGTGTCCGGCCCTCCAACATATGCCGATATTCCAAGGTGGCTCAGGGTGACCATTATCCTTTTTACTCGAGACAGTATGTTGAGCCTCAATTATGCCACGTCCCAATAAATTCATTCAGAAGCAATGATTTTTTTTGTTATTGTTGACCCTATTTTCAACAATTACTTACTATATACTCACTAAAAATAGCAATGGATATTTTGATCAATTGATATACAATTGTGGGTGGGTGGAGCAAGGTCAATTTCCACACTTCTATTTGCCCCGGGTCCAGTGGACCCCGAACCTCTTCTATGTAATAGAAATGTGTAGGGGGGGGGTTTGGTGTGTGGTCATTAAATATGAATTCTGATATATGTTCTTCACAGAAAATGAGCCAAAGCCAGGGAGTCTCAGTTTGAAAAATTAATTAATTGTATCATTTTTCTTTTAATAAAAAATTAAAAAGGGTCCCACAGACCCGAACACCACACAAGGGTTAAAAACAATCCTATATGCCCATGACCCATTAACCTCACCACCCAACAGACCCACCCAAAACCACATATTTTATTAGGCATACACACACACACACACACATAGGGCTGGGAGCAGATGTATTCAGCTGAAGAAGCACCATCCAAGGAGCCATCTGCACCAGGAGCCGCCTGCAGCCACGGGGAGCGACACAGGACTCAGAAGAGAGACCTCTGAGGCCCCGGACCCCCACTAGATCCAAGAACCAGACCCCCACAGCAGACCACAGCTCCCAGTGCAGAGGGCTCCTCTGAAACACTGGGAATACTAAACCAATGCAATAAAAAAGTTAAACATTAAATGAAAAGACAATAGCAGCTGCCTAATATTAATAATAATCATAGTACATGAAAAAACGAAACATTAAAAAAAATAAAATGATAAATAGATAAAATAAAATGCATTCATGAATAGAAAATACTATTCAAAAGCTAATCTAAAAAAGTGTTTCTATAAAAATATTAATGTTCTCTGCGGCCCTGACATGGATCTATAATAATAACTGTATAGGGTATTACTAGCTTCGAGCTGAAGGACCCATGTGCTTGGGGGATTCTCGCGGTACAGCAGAATAAACAAGACTAAATTCACGTGGGCTACCCAGAATTTTTCCCCATAGAACTCAATGTAAACTGAAATAGCTCAACCTCAGCTGAGAGAGCATCTACTAGCTTTCAGAAAGGTCGGATTTTGTGTGGATTTCAGTGTCCCTTGTCATCCTGAACTTTTTTTCTTCTTAAATCCCTTGGTTATCTTTAAATCCACACTTTATTGCCACAAACTCTGCTCGTTCGGCTCTCGCTCTAACTCCCGCTCTAACTCCTGCTCTAGATCCGCTCTGATGAGCAGCCTGATTGGTCAAAGCGCGGCCGAGCCCCTCTGTGCATGTGCAGTAGAGCAATGGGAGTTCTTCCACTGCGCAGAACTGGGAGGACCAGAAAATGCCCAAATATAGCGAGTGATATGGCGAGTTCCGCTAATATGTCAGCAACCATGCTGGCACATGCGCCACTGAGCACAAACCATTCATTTGAATACAGCGCCATCTTGGATCGCCGGGGCTTGGGCCCTGAGCTCCTCCTGCAGACTGTTCCAGAGGCAGGGGGTCGTAGTGCTGGAAAGATGCCTCACTGTGTGTGTGTGCGTATTCTAATTTTTGGAAAGGTTAGTAGTCTGTTGCCGGAGGAGTACTGGGGCCCGGGAAGGTTCTTAGAATAAAAGCAATTATCCCGGTGCAGCCATCTTTTTAATGCAACTGCATTAATAAAGCATTCATAAATCAAACTTCAAACTTCAATTCTGAAAGATAAGAAGGACCAAGACCATTAAGTCATTTAATACCCTGAAAAAGAACCTTAAAATGTTTGATAGAACCAAACATTTACAAAGTTCCATCTTATGGTTTTGTTTTGAAAGTTAACCCCTTAAGGATCACCCTCCCTGTACAGGGAGGATTCAGATATTTTTCATTTAACTGCATCAGTATTATAACTTAACTTGTGTCAATATAGTCAAGCTATACCTCTTTTGAAAGCTTATTCCCACCTCTAAATGCATATTATGTTCAAATAAACATTAAATATCAACAAAAGTAAGTATTTGTAGTCAAACTGTATACATATAAAAAATATATATTGTCCTTTCTTACCTTTTCATGCTAATATTCTGGGCCAAATCACGTCTAATCCACACATGTGTGCATTCATTTTGTCCGGGGGGGTCTAGAGAATACTTATATCCAGTTGTTTTTTCTTCAAAGTCATCATTATTGTAGATATCCACTTGTAACGACACATTTGAGTTTTGAAAGTTGCCCGAACAAAAATAAAACCGCGTCTTTGCGCACTGTCTGAAGACGCCATTGTTTTTTTTTACCCAGAATCACTGGGTATGTTCGTCTTCCTCTCAGTCTTCCCTTCAAAACAAGCCCTCACTCGGACTTCTCAGTGCTATGGTTTGGGGGGTACAACAAGTTGACGAAAACAAGCGCACCAAACTTCAGCCCTCCAGGCATTTACCTTTCTGTGCGTCATGACAGCATTGTCTTGACTACCATTGGCCGATTTGGATGTCAATCAAACCATCTTGTAGCCAATAATCTCAGGTTTCAGGCGATGTGTCGGACTTCAAGGTTCCTCCCACTGTTCGAGTGTTATTTGAATGCGTAAGAGAGGAAAGCGGAGCATTTTCACGGAGAACACGCGCTATAACTATATAAATAATAGCTTTTCTGTAAACATTTCAATATCTGGAAAAAAATCCTATTTATAGCAAGAGTAATAGCCAAAAAATGATATAATTTGATTTTTGGTGTAATAATGTTGATAATTTGCATGTAAAACAATTTGGCACAATTGGCAAAAAAATGGACCGCTTGTGCCGAATGTGCCCATTAGTCACAAAAAAGCCCCCAGCATCAAAATGGTTTCACCTAAAGGTCTAAAATTTCATACAGTTGTTGCCAACACCACAGACATCTGCTCTGGTGAGTTTGAACAACATATCATAAAGTATGTCTTCAGGAGAACCTTTTGAAATTGCCTTTTTTTTTTCGAGACAAAAAAAACTAACTTTTACTCATGTTTGAGAAGGTGTAGTGCAGACTGTGTCCTTCCTAACAAACTGTAACATACATTTCCAGAAACTAGAAGGTGTTACCTTTCAAATGAGGCATCATAACACAACATCAGACACAAGATGTCCACACAATAAGCATTTTCATTTGGGTATCATAATTCGAGAAGAAACAGGCGAAATTAGGTGATCCTATACCCCTGCTTTCACTGCAGGATCGATTGATTCAACTGAGATAGGACCAGTTCTAACAGAGTTTGCTATAATATGGGCTAATTCATCAGAGTCCTTAGGTCCTGGATCTGCCATCTGCTAGGATGGCAGTTCCTCTTCTCCAACAGTAGAGTGCAGGAGACGAACAGGGCACCAACCCAGAGCGAAGCCGTCCCACGGGACCGTTCTGCCACCTGACTGGGGCTGACATCACAGTGCTCAGTTGGCACCTCATGCCTGAGTGGCCCCTGACCCCCAGGGGCCGACCCCTGTCTGGGTCAACAGCACAGTGACCCACTTATCGCTTGAGTGCTCCAGAGCCTCTGCACCTCCTCTCACAGGGCATCTGCAAGTCCTGCACTGGTGAGGAGAGTTACCTTGTGTAACAGTCTCTTCATCAAAACACTACATGATAATCCCAGACATATGAACTAGGAGATATCATACGAGGAGATCAGGATGCAAACTAGGCTTTTGAAAAGGCAACAATAATGTGATATGGTTAAAACTCAGAGATAGTACATTATTGGTGGGTGTTGACTTGTTATACATCTTTCTTTTTAAAGCTAAAATTCTAACAACCATGCGATTTATTGATTTATAAACATTCAGCCCATAATGCAATTAATATCAAAAATTCGTTCTCAGTTTGTAGTATCAAGCCTTAGCTTCTTACTTTTGGTACTTTTAGTTTTGTTACAGTCCAAGTTAATTTATATTGAAAATGAAATTCAAGAAAACAGATTCAAGATAGGAGCTAATAATAATAGAAAAATATCTTATTAGCTCCTTTAATGCTTATAAAAAGCATTAAAAAAGTAATATGTGTCACCAGATGATAGTGGTTGGTACTATTTTGAATCAGGAAAATAATGTACCCAAGACAAGCTCCAAAGATTTTGTGGTTCTTTAATTTCCGACTGCCTCTAGAGAAAGACAGCATTAATTCAGGTATTTTTGGCTTTTTCTTTTCTTTCTATTTAACAACGTTACTCAATTCACATAAAATTAAAATAAACACTTCATTCTCAAAAATAAGACAAGACAAGACAACAGTAGTGGACTACAAAACAACTGGTGTAGGCTCACTATAATAAACAAAATAAATACATGTAAAATGTTCATTTATAGAATGGAAATGGAAATATCAGTTAACAATCTGCACTCACTTTCAGTCTGGTAGGAACACAGCTCAAACCAAATCCAGAACAACTGAGAATATAACAGTGGTCTTTCTCCCCTCTGCATAAAGCAAATAGTGAGTACATTTCATGAATAACCATTTAAAATAAACCTTAAACATGTAACTAACATAGTGATCTGTCAACTCACGCAAAAACGTTGACCAACGGCTTTATACACGCAGGTCTGACAGTGTTACGTATGTATGCCTTCTACCAACACCAGATCTACAGATATATAGAGCAGAAATCATCAGATATAATGCAGTAGATATACAAAAAGATAATTTTATCATTAAATCCTTTTTTGTTATCTCTATTTACCGTTTTTGGTGCCACAACTTGCCAGCGCACCATCCAACGTCTCTCAAGGCGTTGCCAGGGTAACGTCTCACGTGCAGCACCTGACACCTCCCAACCACACGCGCTGTAACAGCACCCTCTACTGGCCAAACCGGGGACAGTATCTGCCGTTCGTCCTATTATTATTTGACCCGGCTACATTCTCCCCTGCCTGAAGTCAACGTCTCGGTGAATTTCTAACAATCAACCTTTGTTTCTGAGGTGTACAGAACCATACCAACTAACAACTGAGACAGTACATCTGGCGTGAAAGACACTGTGTTATTACAAGCACTCACAGGTAAGTTAAATGGATTCCTGTTCTGTCCAGCTGTTTTTCTAGTACTCCTTCGTGGAGAAGGCCTAGGCATGATCTTTTGGGCTAGATCTACCCTCTGTCGGGGAGCTGGTACTGGCCGTTCCTCCAGCTCGGAGCAAGGTAAAACATCCTTGGGAATGTTATTTATGTTACTCTCCAACAGTTGCTCACTTCCAGTTTGGTCTCTGCAGGTATCTGGCTTATTGAGTCTTTCTACCATCATGTATTCAGGGTCAATGTCACTGGTTTCAGTTTCGGAGTCTATATCAGTTTCGGGTTCATGAAAGACTTGAGGTATGCGAGTCTCTTGCCTTGGAGGTGGTACAGGGCCTACACAAAGACGGAGGTTGGACCTATGCACTCTCCTTAATGGACCTCCATTCACAGGAACAACTGTGTGTGTCGTGCCTTGTATATCAATTACTTTATATACTTTTGATGACCACGCATCCTGAATCTTATTTCTGCCAATTGGACGATGACGCAGATACACACATTGCCCAATTTCAACAAATGGACAGTAAACTTTTGCATTCTGGCGGGCCATTCTTTCTGCTGCTTTTCTTTTTGCAAACTCTCTTGCTCGGTCATGTGCATTCTGAAGTCGCTCTTTGTGGATTCTGAGCCAGTCAGTATGTTTACTTTCTTCCTTCTCCTCTTCCTGCCCGAGCAGTGCGTCAATTGGAAGATGGGGTTGAACTCCAAACAGCATATAATGGGGAGAGTAACGAGTTGACGAGTGTGGAGTCACATTGTAAGCATAAACAAGTTCAGCTAGATGTTCAGGCCAGCGCTGTTTTCTTTCAGGGGGAAGTGTTCTCAAAAGTTCATGCAAGGTCCTATTGAACCTTTCACATTGGGGGTTTCCTTGAGGGTGTTGTGGTGTTGTGCGTGTCTTCTTCACACCATACAACCTGCACAATTCAGCAATCACGGCACTCTCAAATTGTCTGCCTTGGTCTGAGTGTAAGCGTTCAGGCACTCCATATTTCATGAACCATTCTTTCAGTATGACTTTTGCAGTTGTGTCTGCTTTTTGATTTCTTGTAGGGAATGCTTGACTGAACTTAGTGAATACATCCGTGAGTACAAGTACATTCTCAAATCCATCACTTGATCGTTCTAGTACAGTGTAATCCACAGCAACAACTTCGAGAGGTCGAGTAGCAAGGAATGGAGTTTGTGGAGCATGAACCTTGGGTTGTGGCAACTTTGTTAAAATGCACCTCTGACAGTTTTTAATCCATTTCTCTACATCCTCATGCATACCATTCCAAAAGCATCTTTGCCTCAGGAGTCCAATTGTCCGTTCTATTCCTTGATGTCCCATTTGATTGTGTGTATGGATGTGAGAACTTTTTCCTTGAGACAGGTGGGCAACAAAAGCTGTTTATATTTTCCATGGTTTACATCTTCAACCTCGCGATATAAGAGTCCATCTTTTTCTCTGAGCCGGGGCCATTGTTTTAGAAGGGACCGTACAGGCATTGGTAGGCTTCTTCTCTCATGCCAGGAGGGTTTTTGTTTCTTTGCCAAGAGCTGTTTCAAAACTTTAAGAGTTGGGTCTGAGAATTGGAATGCTTGGAGTTCAGTTTTGGTGTAACTGGGAAGAGTGGGGGTGTTACTTTGGACTGAAGAACAGTCATTGTCTGAGTCTAAAGCTCTTAACTGTCTCACTCTACAATGGTCTACCACTGCAGCAGCTAATTCAAAACCTAACTCAGTGCCTACCCTCAGGCTGTCACAAACAGCCTCACAACCGTCAAACTCTGCATCTGAGGATGGATCTGACGCTGCTACAGCTGGCTGTCGAGAAAGGGCATCTGCTGCAGAATTACAACGACCAGGCCGATACCTGACCTCAAAATCAAATACAGCTAACTGTGCCACCCACCTTTGTTGGATAGCCCCTAACTTTGCTGTGGACAAATAACAGAGGGGATTGTTGTCAGTAAAAACAGTGAACTTTGAACCCAAGAGATAACTACGAAACTTATCGGTTACCGCCCATTTTAACGCAAGAAGTTCTAACTTCATGCTACTATAATTTTTGTCATTCTTCTCTGCTCCTCTAAGCCTGCGACTGGCATAAGCTATGACTTTTTTCTTTCCATTCTGAACTTGATAAAGAACTGCGCCTAAACCAAGGTTACTTGCATCTGTCTCAAGAATGAATGGCAGCTGGAAGTCTGCATAACCTAAGATGGGTGCACAGGTTAACTTGTCTTTGAGCAGTTGAAATGACTCTGAACATGCTGGAGACCAGGCTGTCTGGAATAACTGTTTGGCCTTAAATGGGGTCTTCTCCTTAATACAGTTATTAACAACATCATGAAGAGGTCCTGCTACTTGTGAAAACCCTTCAATAAACCGCCTGTAATAACTACAGAAACCAAGAAAAGAGCGAAGTTCTTTTACAGAGTTAGGAGGGGGCCATGACTTTACAACGCTAACTTTCTCAGGATCAGTACCTACACCCTGAGCTGAAACCAGATGGCCTAAGAACTTAACATTTGACTGGAGAAATCTGCACTTTTCAACTTTCACTTTTAAACCTGTATTTTTCAGTCTCTGGAGAACAGTTTCCAGCCTTTCAAGGTGTTCTTCAAAAGTTTTTGAGAACACGAGCAGGTCGTCCAAGTACACGATAACAATCTGGAAGATGAGGTCGCTCATTGTTCCTTGCATTAAGCGCTGGAAAGTTGCAGGTGCATTACATAATCCAAATGGCATACGTAGATATTCATATAAGCCGAATGGAGTGGTGAAAGCAGTTTTGTGCCTGTCTTTTTCATGGACTGCAACTTGGTGGTAACCACTTGCAAGATCAATGCTTGAAAAGAACTCTGCACCACTCAATGCGTCCAGACTTTCATCAATACGGGGCAATGGAAATGCATCACGTCTGGTTTTCAAGTTTAGCTTTCTGTAGTCCACGCATAGTCTTAGACTACCATCAGATTTGCGGACCAAAACTATTGGGGACGCATAAGAACTTGAACTTTCTTTGATAACACCATTTCTTAGCAGTTCTGAGATGTGGTCTCTCACCTCTTTATACTGATTTGGTGGGATCCTTCTGTAAGGCTGGTTAATGGGGACCTCATCCAATACAGGTATCTCATGTTGGACGTTGTCTGTGTAGCCCAAATCTTCATCCTGCATTGCAAAAACATCTGCATACTTGAATAACAGTGCCTTCAATTCTGCCTGTTGCTCACTTGTACCACCTAAATGTAACTGCTCAAATAGGTCTTGCATGTCTTTGTCTGGTTTGTCTGTGCCTATTTTACTAACTGTTACTTCCTCATGTGACGCTGATACACGTTGAAATTGAACTTCAAAAGGGTCACCTGTCTCAATACACTTGCATGGCGATAAATACCCTAGCCTAGATTTTCCTGGGAGCCACACATCATCAGGTGAGAAATTGATTACTTGGACTGGAAACACCGGACTATTAGCTGAGACAACAGTGGGCATAACAATAACACCACCAGGTAA